GGAAATTGTATTGTTCTTTTTCTTTGTTTAATCAGTTATTAAATTTCATGAGATAATCAATTAGCTAGAAAACAGGGCAAAATCTGAACACAAGAAACATACTACTTTTGATAAATATTTTTATGGCATACAGCAATAAAAATGACAAATCTTGAAATGGAAATAGGCTCAGCCTCATATCCAGAAGTTTAATTACTGTTATTAGACTTGTCTCAAACTTCTCTGACTTGCTTTGGCCTGAAATTTGGTTTTTAAAACTGAAGAAAATATGTGCATGTTTGAAGTCCCTGTGCATCCTGGTTTTGCTGCTGGGAAAAAATTCCATGATCATACATTCTTTCATTTCACTTCCTATTTCAAACAAAAAATAAAAAGCACAATCATCCAAAATGCCAAACTCCAGCTATGAATAAGCACAAACTTCCAAGTATGGGCAGTGCTTGCATGTAAAGCCTTTTATTTTTGATTGTGAATTAAAACTGAATCTAGACCAGTGGTGCTTTCAATGCTACTATGGACCAGACTAAATACAAAAGAAAGAACTGAAGCCCAGTAGGGAGATTGACATGTCTTGTACTAAACTCTCAGAAACATTTTGCACCTTAAGATATGGGTTACCGGAAGAGGAAAAAAAAAAAAAAAAGGAAAAAGAAAACAAAAACAAAAGGAAAACACCAAAAATAAATTTAAAAAAAATAAAAATAAAAAAAGCGCTCTTTCTTCAGGGGAAGAAAGAGCTGACTAGCAGCAACACTCTTATTGGTTGTTCAAAACTTGCACAGGAATCTTGAGTATCCCAGAAATAGTATGGCTCATGGAAATCAAAATGTTTTAACATGGAGGACTGTGAGGTGGCCATAGTTTGTGTGCACTATGTGGAAACATAGTGCAAAAGGTGTTGTGAAAGCTGGTTTTCATGCATGATGGACAAATTGCAGGGCCTAGGACATTCTGTTAGTACAAGAAGGCATGACAAATGGGAATCCTTAACCATATCCAGGTCCTCAATTTATAACACAGATGTAGTATTTACTGTATGGATGACTCAGTGAACATAAACATAACAAACCAACACTCTTCTTGTGGAAAAACACAAATGAGGAACTTTTCTTCATACAATACCTGTTATATGATAGGCTTCCTCTTAACACATCTAAAGCCCAGACACTTGTATTTGCAATTGAAATATACTTCACAGAGCTGAGAAGACAGGCATTGACAGGCAACCTTGTAATGAACAGAAAGCCTTGAACAGAAAAAACAACAGAGAGTCTTTAATGAAGTCCTCACAAACATTTGATTAACAATAAGACAATAAGCATCCAGCACTGTAGTCCCATTTTTACTTTCACAATAAATTTAACAACACTGTCTGAGGTCAGTCAAGATACTTTACTGAGTGATGGATGGAAAAAATTATGTTCCCAAACTCAGAGCTTGGATTTGTGTGCCCAAGGACTATGAGACATAGTCTCTGAATTAATAATTTTTCCTAACAGGACTACATGTGAGCTCACTGTAGCCAAAAAAAGGCTTTCCATTAATTATGGAAAAATGGGTAAACCAAAGTCCTGGTCCCCAGATGTCCACCCTTTCCAGGTCTGGACACCATATCAGAATAATGCTTGTGTGCATGCTCTCTCCGAGTCATGAAAAGTACTTAATGTAGATGTGGCCTATACTGTCTGAATAGCGGTGATTACACTTATCCATTGGTGTAGACACAGCATATATGCTTAGTTTTGGTTTGTCCCATATGACATAGGATTTTATCACTAAATAAATAAATATTCAACTTCATACTCTGCTTTCATAAAAAAATTAGGCTCCTAATTAAGCCTGCAGAAAAACTGCTGGAAGTACTTTGTGCACACAAACAAAAAGCCTGGATTCAGAGAGGACACAACTTTCAGGAATTCAAAAGTTGAACCCAGATCTGAATTTGCAGCTAAAGCCCATGCCTTGTATACTATTCATAATGCTCTGGTTTTACTTCTCCATTCTATTCTTCACAGCTGAATCATTTGATCCAAAAAATTAAAAAAAAAAAAAAAAAAATCAAGTCAGTTGTTCTGAAGCTCACTACAAAGTGCAATACTGGCACCTTTGCACAAAAATTTCTACTTTAAAAATTACAGCAGTTTTGTCTAATTATCTATGTGTTCCAGAACCTCTCAAGATATTAATTCCTACCATTTTCCATGAACATTACTGATCAGGCTGGATCAGATCAACTGCAGCCTTCCCCACTTCTGAACAGTGCCAGCAAGTCACTTTAAGCTCCTGCAGATTTTTTTAGTTCAATAAAAATTTAATAATCAGTACTTTTCTGTGAGAATTCACCTCTGCCTTTCCCTTAAAAAAAAGGAGGGGAGGGTGCAGAAAGGTGGTGTAGTGCTTAACATCAGGAACAAATGGCTACTGTCCTTGGAGAGAACTGAGCTTCTAAGGAGCCAAGAACCATATGACAACCTGAAACATGAAACTGTGTGAGTGGCTGCTTTTTCCTGATTATGTGAGGAGGAAGTACTTGTATACTAGAATGAGCGCTCCAGCATGACAGAGCTCTATAGAGACGGCTCTGACTGTCATTTAGAAGGGTGAATGCTACAGCACCCTTTTAATGTTCTTTCTCCAGGACACAATGGTATTTGTTTGAAGGGGTGAGGAAGAAGACTGACAAGCAATGAAAAGGATGGATCCATTGTGCAACAAGAAAAGTACTCACTGTGCTGTAAAGCAGCAGGTGCTGAGGATACTACAGGGTTTCCAGTAAAGGACATGATTAGGCCTTCTAGTGGCTATTACCAGAATCAGCAGTCTGTGGAGAGCTCTTTTCCAGAAAAAAATAGGATTCCCTAAAGTTTTCCTTGGTCTTCAGAAGGATTCTGTCTTGCATAAAACTGTTCACAGAAAGATGGCTGGGGTATGCAGTCCCACCAGATAAGAGTATGCAACAAAAGTAAATCCTGTTTGGTATATAATTATTTTCTAAATATTTACAAGACACATAAAAAAGGTGTTTCTAATAGAACCTGCAAATCACCATTTACTAAGCAATAAATCAATTAGCAAAATTCTTTGCAGAATCTGAAAATCTTGGCATGGCAATATTTTAGTCAAATTTGGGGAGGATCTGTAGCAATCTGCAATAAAATCCTGACAAAAACATAATTTCTAAGAAACTGATGTCACTACAGAGATAGCAATATTTCATAAAGGGAAAACAACCCTGAACATAAGGGAGAAAAATGTATCAGAATAAAGACATAAATATAAATCCTTGACTCAGAAGCTACACCAGGTCACATAATAACCATCTGTTGTATTTCTTGCTCATATAGGAGTCCATTTTCACAGCTCTGTAGATTTTCCAGGGTAAACTCTTCAGAATATGACTAACATGAAAAAACAGGCAAAAACTTTTTTCTTTTCCAAAGGAAGTATCTTGTCTCCAAATAATTTGTGGACTAAGCATTGGCTAAGGATGGCAGCAGAATCTTGGAGAGTGAGTGTATAAAGGAATATGGGCAACAGAAATGGGATGGGATTTATGCTTGCCTTTAAAAAAGCCTATATAAGATGAGCTTGGGGTTGATGAATGGTTTCTGCATATGTGACAGTTTAGGGACTGCTGATGGTAGCAACTCTTGGCAGGATGGTGATGGTGAAGTGACGCTGGGAGCCAGAGACAGTGTTGGAAAGCAACAAATGATGAGATCTGCTCTGCTCTGTATTTTTGGCTGAATGTACCAGTGAGTGCATGAGTCACACCCTTCACTTTGTAATTTTTGTCTGGTTGATTGATATGAGAACACCAAAGTATTTCACTGAAGATAGATCTCAAACTCAGATATTAAAAAGATTCAACATGAATGTTCATGATCTTTGTTATACAATGTTCACTGTCTTTGTTCTGGATTGCTTTGAATATCCATTTTGTCATTCAGTAAATGTTTCCTTTTGTGCTCAAAACAAACAGCCCTTCTCCATCATGGCTCAGAAAAGATGGCATTTAAAGGTAGAGTCATTAATTAGGTAATCTTAGACTGAATGTGTACATTACAGGAACATTTTACTTCTCAGCAGGGGTATTTCAGAGTGCTAAGCAAATTTTGTGAATTTTGAAATGGATGTTTGGGCAATACGTATTACCTCAAAACATTTATTGGTCGTTGGGTGCAATTATTACAATTCTGAACGATGTTAACATTGCAGAGTCAACCCTAGAAGCTAAATACAGATCTGGTTGGCGTAAAAGAGTAAGCATGGCAAAAGCAGGTTGAAAAACCCTAGAAGGAAGAATGTAGAGTAAAATTGGAAAATATGAGGAAGTTTGAACAGGGCACTCAGTCAAAGATGGAGAGAACAGACCTATTGCAATTTTACTCTGTAGCATTTGGCATGTGAGGCAGGGTCATGAACGTCTGTACTTCACTATGAAAGTAAATTAATAAATAATATCTATTTAAGATACAATAGCTGTTATTTACTACTCAGATTTTCTGCATAGGTAACAACAATTCTTCTCTGACTATTGGTTAAGATAATATTTTATTATGTTTCCCATTTCTCTATATTTGTTTGCTTGCCTAGACTTTAACAGCTGAGTAGAGATAAAGCATCATTAGTCTAGGGCATAACTGCCAACTGAAAAAGTAATTTTGCTGTAGGGCATGTGGGAAGGGCAAGAAAACACCTATCACTGAAGCACGATCTCAAGCCAAGACCATGTCAGGTGTAAACTATCCACCTCACACCCGCAACCAGTGTTCCCCCACCCCCCACACACACTACCAGGCCCCAGGCTCTGCTTAGATTTAGCCAACAGGCAGTGACCTTTCCCGTGTGCCGGAATTAGACTAGACGTAACTGCAGAATAATGCTGCTCTGTTACCCTGTGCTATTACTACTGTGGATTTAAAACTGATTCAGAAATTCTATTGCAGAACTTTCAAATCCAAAGTAAATAAATAAGCTTGAAATCAGACCTTAACATACCCAGCCAAGTTTCAGAAGTTGTATTTCTCTGTAACAAGCAGCATACATGTTGCAATCCACCAAGCCTGCAGAAGGGAAATCGCAGTGTTCATACTTGATAAAGAATGGGAATGATGTTTCCCTTACCATGATTTTTATGATTTCATACATGAAACGTGCCTGACTGCTGAAGACTGCTTTCCTATTCAACAGCATGACAGGCAGATACCATGTTTTCCATAGCACTGTACATTTAGTTTCTTGGGAGCAAACTTTCATCACTGTATAATTAGACAGTTATATTTAAGTGCACCTGCTGTGTCAGTGACTCTTCTCCGTGCCTTGACATATCAAACCTGAAATTAGCCTGTGCCTTCTAGATATGTCTGTAGTAAAGGGTGAGGAGATGCTTTTCTCTAGGGTCAAATCCTGCAGGCATTGCACCTAAAGCAGTGAACTTGCATTTAGATGCACTGACACAATAACACATCGACACAGTGCTTTATGGTCTTCAGCAGGGCATATACTGCATTCTCGTCTATGCCAGCCCAACTTTAATGACCATAGAAGGACAAAATGGTGATGAGTTCATATTGGCAAAGCAAATGGCTGCAAATGCTCCATTCGTAGGCATGCTCTCTTTACCTTTCAGTTTTCTCATCTGTAACAAGCCCCTCTGAAAACTTCTGAAAACCAGGTGGAAATTTTGAAAATTCTGCTCTTACTGTTACCAATACTGGGCGATTTTGAGGAATGGGAATAATGGTTTTAAAGTTGCACTGTCAAAACAAAAGGAACATACATGTCAGAGAATATGATAAGATTTGCTTTTTGCAAGTGTCAGCCCAACTTTGCTTAAATCCAGAAAAGTAAAACATTAAAAACAACCAACAACATCTCTGACATAACAACAAAAGTAGTAATGACAAATAGTGGGAACTTATATCAATGCTATAACTCTGCTGTTGAATCAGATGGCAAAACTTCACCTTGCATATTTACTCACTCAATCTTTTGGTTTAACATATTTAACTACATATGGCATTCCTGAATTACAGCATAAAGGTGGAAGTGATGAGAGCTCCTAATTCCTATTGACTTCCCAGTGGAATGGAAATGACACCTAGCACTTTCCAGGGTAAGAGTGCAGCATGATCTTATGCCTGCTTCTGTTCCTAGCTCTCCTGTAGCAGAATCTCCTTATGTGTATTCCAGATGGCTTCTGTTTAAAGTGCCATTCCTCCCAACCCCAACCGCTAATAAGCTTCCTATAGATTACAGTCTGGAGTCTGGGAATTTCTGCTTCAGTCTACAGCATGGAAGTCTGTAGGCACTTTAATCTGGGTATTTGTAGTTGCACTGTTATTACATTGAGCCACTTAAGGCTGCACTTTACCAAACAGAATCCTTGAAGATTAGAAGAGCCATCAATTCAACTAGGTGTATTTATTACCAGTGAGATGACTTAGATTTACCAGCAGCAAGTAGTTCACTACAAATGAAAGAAACATACCAAAAATATACAATGCAATTTTCATGTCCTATCTACTGCAAGAACTAGTCTCAAAATCAAGTACAAATGAAACCACCTGACTGTGTTGGCTCACTTTCAACATGCCAGTCTCACTGACTTTGCCAAAGCAATGTTCTGAGTCTCACACTGTGAACGACAGAATATATGACTCCAGTGGCCCATAAAAAGAAGCAGAGAAAATGTAAAGCTGGCAGACAATGTCATCTACCGGCAACAACTGTATGACTTGATAAATCTTTTCTGCTGTTTCTGCTCCAAAGGTACAGCTCTGAGATCAGAAATATTTGTAACTGCACACAGTTAAAATGTGCTCTTGTATATTTTATTTTCCTAATGAAAAAAATGGAGGGCTACTTTCACACCTGACATACAGGTATGACTCAACAGAAGTCAATAGAACTGTATCGCTTGCTGCAAGAACAAATTTGACCCAGAGTTCTCATTTCATTTTCACTTATCAAGAGAAACCTAGTGCTAAAATTAGCTTACAGTAGAAGTCACATGGTCACATGAATAAATCTCTTCCTGCTAGTTCTGTTAAGGCGCCTCTGGCTGTGAACCATAGCCATCTGTGGGCAATAATCCTGTCTATCTAATAAATATCAGGCAAAGTCATAAATTATGTGAGGCTGCACTGTACATTAGAATAAAGGAACAATGACAGATGGCAGAAAACCCATGAGGTCACTGCAGGAGTGAATAGAAGTGTGCAAAATGCAGTGAAGGAACTGCTGGGAAATGTAGGTACATACAGTCTTCAAAAATATTTTGCAAAGAGTAAATAAATTATAAGTAAGCTGCAAAGTATACAGGTAAAGAGCCATCCTGTCTGTGCTGCCATCTCACAGAAAAGGAAATGCACCTATATCTTTATGCCCAGAACACTATAAATATTAATTCTTTGCCCTACCTTGTGGGAAGTGGAGAGCACACAGTCTGAAAGAGGTTTTGGAGAGAAGCTGTGTTCAGAAATTATGCAATGCTCCATGTAGTTTCTCTACCTGGAAAGTGAAAGCAGCACAAAATGAAGCAGACTGATGATGTGGATGGAAAATGCCTATGTGGAACAGCTCTAAAATTCACCTGTCTTTTGGAGGAGGTGCTCTTCTGTGGTTCTTCCCAGGCACCACAGTAATCAAACTGGAATATGTGAAATCAGATTCTGAAACTATTAGAAAGTCAGATGACAGCTAATTAAACTGGCAAAGAACTTTAGATATTGGAACCTGACCTTCTTACCTTAAGTCTGTCTATAGCTTTAAAAATAGAAAACACCTTTGCATCTAAAATTAAATGGTTCTTTTGTAGTAAGCTAGCCTGATGCTTTCTTTAATCCGGTAATTTTACTTATGGACATCAGCCTAAGTGTATTCACATTGTCACTTCTGGATACTGTAGTTAAAGGTGCTGCTCAGAAATGGATAATTTCAAGCTCTAGAAGCCTTAGTAAAATACCGTCGTTACTTGGTACTAATAGAACTTAACCAAAAAAAGCAAGAACTCATTGTCATGGCCCTCTGCTTGTTTTTAAGCAGCTGCACTGTTTGTTTCAACAAGGCTCATGGACTGCCCAAGAAAACCCATTTTTTTTCCTACAAAACACTACAGTGGTTTTCAACTGAACAAATAAATTCTTTTGCCCTGCACATCTTGCACAATATGCATTAAAACATTTTGATTAATTCTCAGGTCTACTGCATATCATGGGGTCAAGGAAATGTGACAACTTCCGTCTTAACCAGATTTTCATCCACTTCTACCTCCTCTATTTATACAGTTTTCTTTGCCAGTCTTATGTTAGTAGAATTCTTCCTCAGTTAAGAACATGCAGGTAAGTCGGACTTAACCCATTCTTTTAAACACTTCTTTTTTTTTTTTTTCCACTTTAAGAGTGTATTTACTCAGTGTTAACCTCCAATCACTTGGGTTAAAGACTTCATCTTGTTTCATATACTGATTCTCAAAGAACACTGGCAAACACATCAATGGACATTTAATCTTGATGAACCCTTTATGTTCTTCTGTGACTATTATAGTCACTACCGTCAGATTTTGTACATCACTGACTTCCCATACTTTTTCCTAGAGAACACAGTCCCATTTACACTACCCGTAACACCAATCCAAAGCCACTGGAGACTTCATAGGCACTGTCTGAAGTGCAAATCCCAATATACTTCAACATGAATGTGTTTATCCCCTGGATTCATCAAGCTCTGAGTTGATCTTTATAAATCTGACAGTATTGCTTATGTGTAACAATGTTAAACACAAGACAATTTCTGCAGAATTTGGGTCTCATCTACACCACAGATTCGAATTACATGTGAAAATCCAGTGTCTGCTTTCCAATAGCACTTACAGTAGTATTGAAAAATATCTGATAATTGAAATCTTTCAGAATCCTTCTGGAAGACTGAAATATCAACAGTTACCAAGACTGAAGAATGCACTATTATTATTCCCCAAAAAAGAAAGAATACATGGGAGTTTTATCAGCCTTTAAGCAGTAAACAAAATGCACTAGAACATTCAAGCCAATTTCACTGGTTGGGAGAGTAATCACCACCCAGAAAATTAGGACAAAATTTTCTGACTGAACCGCAAATTAACTTCACTGCTTTACAGAGCTGAGCAATTACACTTTAGATCACACTTTACAAAATCTGAGACATTCATTAAAGGACAGGTGATGGTTTAATGCAGTTACAAATCTCCTCCTAGGGCACAGGGATCACGTGATATGTTTAAGTCATCTGGAGACTGTAAAGGGAAAAGTTGTACCCATCTGCCCCCTATTCACACCAGCCAGCAGGCAGAAGCCAGTCCAAAGTACACACAGATATATATTAAAAGACATGGTCATGGCTGCTGCTGTGTCCTCCTACTTCTGAGGGAAAAAAGGAGGCAAAAATTTTCCAAGCAAAGCTTTGGAAACTCCCAGAGTTGAGACTTTTACATTGAACAATGCATTAAGAATATCTGGGAGGGAAAATCCTGTGCTGGCAGATGGGAGGACTGGATGATCTACAATGGTCTGATCCATTTTTAAATTCTATCATCAGATTTGTCCTCAAGTACAAACCCTCTAGGAGTTTCTTGGGGGCGGTGCATCCCTCCACAACCCCTACTGCGGGCTCTGGCTTAAAAGCCACAATAGAGTCCTTAGAATCTAACAACAAGAGCTATTCTAGGCACTGGTTAGGAAAATGGGATTTAAAGGAAGTTTCTACTATTGTGCAAAATTAGGGCAAAAAATCTCCTTTCAGATAAGCAACAAAGTATATCAATTCCAACAGTTTGCTCTCCTGCTGTTGTATCCATCATAAAGAAAGACAGTCTTTCTGTGGTGAATAAAGGTGATCGTCTAATCAATTAAGATTTCATAGAAAATACGGAACAATTCAGCTGTCTGCCCCACCCTCTTCCCAGGTTGAAACAGGACCTTTCCACTTTACTCTGCATGTCACTTTTGTTAAAATGACAGGCACCTCACAGAAAACACCAAACATACATGTAGAGAGCGAAGAATTCCCATTTTGAGATCCACCATACAAGTGAAGGTTTCTGAGCTATGAATTTGATTACTCTATGCATTGGACAATTGCTTACATAGCATGATATATATCATTTTCATATACATAATTATTCCAATATTACATTCTGATCATGATTACACTTATTTTGATTAAAACAATATAAAGAAAAGGTGTTTGTGAAACCGATGTAAAGTGTGCATTGCACAGAAGTATTAGTAACACAGTTCACTGACCTCACTACCATCCATGACTGTTCGGTGATTCAGTTGAACATGGTCAATACCTCCACCAAGCACAATCTGGTTTGGGCTATCATGGTCTGTGGCAGAGTATTGTTTTTACAGTTGTTGAACACATGCCTTTCAGCTGAAGTCAGAAAGTTGATTCCCTTTAGCCGTAGTCATGTAATATGTTAGTCATTCATTTATCCGATTTAGCTTGAAGATAGTTTAGACTTCCAACTCCTCCACTGAAGGATAAAGAAACCTCAAATGTTCACATGTGCTAACAGTCTTAAGGCTAATGTCACTCCACAATGACATTAACTTCATGTCAGCATAGGTTTTATGCAGTGCCTTTAGTCTACAATGACAAGAACAATGCCAGAGCATAGCTACATTTTCTCTTTATCTGGAAATAAGTTAATGACTTGTGGTCCTTTCATGTTCAGAAAATATAAGTAGAGAGGCATAAAGAAATTAAATTTACAAGGTTAGCACTCAACTCACAATACTTGAAATGTTTTCTAACATATTTTCTCTGTTGCTAGTATTTGTTTATAAGGGTTTGGCTTAATAAACAAAAGAGAAAAGATGAAGAGAACAATAAATTAAACACAGCATTGAATGGTGCCTACATGAGATGCAGAGACAATGCATGGACAAAAAGAAGCAAAATATATCCCCTAAAAATATACTATAAGGTAAGACATTATAACATAGGTAACATTACACCTTACTTACCCAATCTATAAAAAAACTCCAGCATTTGCTTAATACAACAATTTTATTCCACTTACCTAGAGTTCATATTGTGATTCATAGAATCTGTTGTTCTACTCTGAGGTTATGCTGCCAATGCTTTTTTAATTATTGAACTTCCAACACACACTATTTTACCAAAATATTTCCCTTAAAAACCCCAAGCAATTAGTAAGTAAAGCAGGTGCTTTTGGAGAGTACTTGAAAATATAATTTATTTTACCTGACTTTTCCCCACTCTAGCATTTCCAGCCACAAAGATTGTGTCACAGCCAGCAGTGCTTCTAACTGTGAGAACTAAAAGTCACAAGATACTAAAATTAAAGATTACTAATAACGTGACACAAACACCTCTAAAGCATTAAAAACTGTAAAAACGAACTGGGTTTGTATTAAGGATTTTTTCCCTCCCAGAATTGTTCTGTAGATTTTCTTTCAGGGGAAGAGAAGGAATATGTACAAAGAAGGGTTGTCTCCTTCCCAGAGCTTTAAACTAAGCTACTTCAGAAAGAGCTGACTGACATATAGAAATGGAAATTCTCAAATGATTGCTTTATTTATCTAGACAAACTTGGACTAGTGCTGATACGACATTTTCAGATGTTTCTAACTTAGAGGATTATCATGAAGTGTACATGGTCCACTCAGAGCAGTTACTGCCCAACCCTGGTCTTTGCAGCAGTGCTCTTTTTATATAGATCACTTGGGATTTATCTAAGAGCTAAAAAGGAATCTAGATGTGTTCTAAACACATGGAAAGAAAAGCAGACCTTAAGTAACCTAATGTTTATATGTTCCTGACATAAGGCAGACATCTTAAAATATAGTACAGCCGTGCATGTTAATAGGACTCAGTATAGTAAACCTATGCAGCAGAGAGTTTCTGCAATTGTACTGCAAGATCTGACTGACGAGAACTGATGAAGACCCTATGGAGAACAGCTTGCCTCATACCTCAGTTGAATCAGAGGTCTCTGATCCTAGGTCAGATGAAAATCCATGAAAACAATCACTAAATGCATCACCATTTTTCTCAGGAAGTACCTGCAAAATGAAAAATAGCGTAGAGTTTCCATAACTGGCAGCATGAATAAGCAAGGAAGAATTGCAGACAGAAGAGTGAGCTGCATGCCTGGTGGGGAGCAGGCCCAATAAGCCTTTCAGATTTTAGAGTCATGAAACAGCTGTACAAAAGTAAAGAAATAGGTAGGGAAAACGGTCAAGAGGGCGAAGAGTATGAAAAACTAATAATGGCCTTACCATGCCACAAATTGCAATCTTATTCTCTCTCCCCATCTGGCAGCCTGTTACAAGAACATCAAATACCAGAACAATTCAAGCCTAGCATGACTTTGTTCTGGATTTCAGGCAATTTTTAAGAATTATGTAGCAAATGGAAAATCAGTTGGTCTAGTTACAGCAGCACTGGCTGCTGTTTTATTCATATTTGTAGCATGGGCCATCCCC